CGTAGTGGGTGATACATGATTCCCGAGGATAGACTATGGGCAAGATTATTCTATACGGTAACCATATCATGAACATCCCGAGGGTAGATGTGGGTCAAGTTTGGTTATCTTGTGACGTATTTAGCCATCGCCAATGGTAGACTGTGGATGGTGCACCCTGAGGATAGACTGTGAGTGGCCTAGTTGGTTGTTGTATCAGGACCTTGGGTACTAGTGTGGAGGTTATGATGATGGTTGTATAAGAGTGAGGGAGAGTTAGTTATCATCCAGTGGGTATGGATGGGGTGGATTTATGATTATATCGCGTATAGGCTGAGTGGAAACTGTAAACACTTGGTGGGCATTGGTGAGTAACATGGGGTTTTGTGTTGGGAATGCCTACTAGCTTTGATGATGGGCGATTGATTGTTGTGAAAATAATCATTGATCCATGGTAAAGGGGAAGTTTGTACAAGGATACGAATTAGGACTTATCGTTTCCGGAAATATATAAAAAGGATAGTGTGTTTGCTAGGGAAGGATTATGTGTACGGAAGTTGCAAGTGTCTCTACATGCAAGTTTAAGGTTGAGTTATTTTCATTATTAAATTGTAATCACTCACGAGCTCATAGCTCACTGTTTTATGTTTTTCCCCAGGTATTGCATATAGGGTACGTGGGGTGCAAGCAACCGCTTTCGGTTGCTAACAAATGCAGTTTCACTAGACATGTATTTTGTACTATATGAGACAGAATACATGTGTTTTATGTAAATGAATTTTAATGTTTTACCTTCATAATTATATTTTAATTGTGACTATAGCATTAAGTTTTTAGAAATTAAGGGGGATTTTTTAAAGCTGTGTTGAAAAATTCACCCTCTTTGGATCCCAAGTCCCTACGTATGCCCGGATCGATTGGGATTCGGGAATACCGCAGGAGGTGGAAGAAGCGTCCAACTACACCACAAGGAGACCACGGTGTCCTGTGACTCTTAAGTCTAGGAGGCAGCATCACGTTGGACACTAGTGAATCAACAAGCACCTTGTGTCGCAGCAAGTTGTACAAAACAACACTTGAGTGTGAGATCGGTGTGTACCTTCTGGTAGGTTTTTCGACGCTATGATCAACTTACCTATAAAGTGGTCCAGGCTTTTTTATAGGTTGGTGACCTTTATGATTTAAATTAAGAAGAATTGCCCTTATGAATTGTCCCTCTTATAACATATTTCTGTGAACACTAATCTATGGCAATTATTCTTACAGGATGAATTAAGAGACATCAATAAAAAAAATGGTGCGAATAAAAACTTTCACCATCCACACAAGTTATGAACTTAATCACACATTGATAAAGCAATTAAAAGTATAACGTTATGATGTGAAATAGGGAAATAGAAGGAATAGGACTTGACATTTCTTGTTACTTGATGACAAAAGTTCAATCCAATATACTGTGTTACCTACCCTATAATTGTAAACATAATAAACTGGTAATAATCTAATTTCCTATTTTCTACTGATCATCCCTATTAATACAAATTTATTCCTGATTACAACGAACACCTCTCCCAAGTTGGGAGGCCTAAATAAATCATATGAATGCTTTGCAACAAATAAAACCCAATACGAGGACCCCTAAGAGGGTTTAGTGAGAATATCCGACATTTTGCGTCGTTTGGCTAACATGACTCGTTGGTAATACAACCGGACAAAAACTGTTTCTCGCGATAGGAGATGGGCAATCATAGTTTTGTATGTGGTCTTAATACCCGTGAACACTAGGTTGGTGATCGCACTATGGAGAGCACTTGATTATCTGGCGCGTGTTACTTTCAGTGCTGTGGATACTTTTGCATAGTTTCACTCTTGGATTTGTTGCTTCAACCAAATGTGCTCAAATGGTTGCTACAGCCATTGTAGATATTCCTGCCGGTCCGCATGGGATCTAGCAACAACATCTTGCTTCTTACTTTTCAAGAAATAAGGTTCCCTACAACAGACACAAAAACCTGAAGTGGGATGTCTTATTAGATGAGCCGGCCAATAACATTAGAAATACACGTCAATCTAGGTAGACCAATGTTTTCATATAAACAAACTTTTGCACGGTGTGCCACCTTGACTATACCTTCAGAATTTGAAAACTGCATCCCAATAAATATCACATGGACGAACTGTAGTAATCGACTACATACCTAAGAGAAAATATATCAGGTTTGGGTTAGTGAGATATTTAACGCTTACACAAGTACTTTGGTATCTTCTAGGGTACCAATAAGAGGCTTCCTTGTCTAGGTGAGAGCTTTAAATTAGGATTCCCAAGGAGGTACTATCGGTCTACAATCTACACAATGTTGCTTCCAGGTATATCCACTGCCTACCTTTCTTTGAGAGGCACAATACCAAAGTTGGATGCATACTTCTATGCCAAGGAGTATCTAACGGTAACCCAATTCTGTATCTGAAATGGTTGACAGTGTTTCTTCTCAACTGTTCAATACCATATTGAATCATTTCATATAATGACAATATCATAACATAAACAACAGATAGATCATTGCGTTTGGTGAGTATGTTTATGAAAATCTGAATGCAATCATGCTTCTTTGGCCGGAGCTTTGGCCTGTTTGGCTGGAGCTGCCTGCATTTTGGTTGTTGTTCACATTATTAGTGGGTCGTTTGAATCCATCAAAGTGCTATCCATTGGTTCTCTCTCATTGGCTCATTTGGATTTTTTTGATTTTTTTCTGATCACTATCCTTTGGGCTGGTTAATAGGCTATTCATAAGTTTTTAGCCACGTCACTTGTTTGTCATTGGTCCCCTTATTTCCTTATCTCTTCATCTCTTTGACTTCAAATAATGACACATCACACTAACAAATCATCCATCTCTCCCCTTCCACCTGATAATCCACGATGACTCATTCTGGCACGTCCCCCATATGCTCACGCAGCACTTTCACGTCACCGACCTTGCACCATCACAAAAAACAATTTTCGTTCCCTCCCAAACTTCAGAAACCTTCCCAAAGCCTACTTTGCTCCCATGGGTCCCTTTTCTTGTGAATTTCTTTGAAACAAGTGAGGCAGAGTTTGGTGGGTGTGTTTAGAAGCAGCACAATTGTGTGTGGAAAGAGATTGATAAGGTTGGTGGGGAATGTTGCGATGGAATGCGCGGTTTGAATTCAAGGTGCCCATCGTATGATGCATGGTGAGGAAGCGCGAGTGGAGTTGTGGACTATGGGGGGAAAAGGGGGATGGGGATTGAAAAAGCCTGATGGTTGCATCCTGGAGAAAACTATTTGTTCGAAATCCGGTGCTCCTATGGAAGTATTGTTGCTCCGAAAATCTTGATGATGGGATGAATGGGTTATACCCTCCTAAAGAGGTGGTCTGATTTTGGGAGGGGACAAACTGGGGAAATTGTCTTGTCGGTCTCGCCTTGGTAGAAGGTTGCCATTCTTTCTTGTGAGGTTTTATCGATGAGAATTGGGAAGTTGCTTCGGAAAGGTTGGTGTTTGTCTCAAATGGGGTTGGGGGCTTTATCTTCGAAATTTGATAATGGAGCTCCAGGGATGAGGGCCATTGGAAAGGGGGGCCCTTTGGCCATATTGGGGGCAGCCCCTTTTACTTAACAAAAATGGCTCCGAATTTAAAAAATGGCAGGTGAAGGATTAGTGCGCGATTTGGGGCAAATTTAGGGAGTCCTATTGGGGTTTTGGACGGCTAAAGGGTTAAGCTATGGTGCGAGCGCTATTGGAAAACCTCTACATGATAACAGACACATAAACACCAGAGCACGGGTCAGGGGGATAGATTGGATGTATGCAAGAGTTTGTGTTGAAAATGACACAGCTTCGTCATTCCCGAATGCATGAGACTAGGCCTCCGAATGGTGATGTTTGTAAACATAGTGTGGAGTTTTATTGGACAACTGAGGGCTGCCCTGTTGTGTAACTTTGGATCTTGAAGGACATGTCACTTGCCCCTCGTGATGGAAGGAAAGTCACCGAGAACAGAATCTGATAATCTTACTCAAGAATGGGCGATGGTGACTAAGAGGAAGGAGGAATGTGTCAAGGACGTGGTTGTGGCAAGTGAATAACGTGGGCGAGAGCTCTAGCCGCAAAAAACAGCAGGCCCAATTATGAGTCGAGGTCACAGTAGTAAACAAACCCTACAGAATCAATTTGTGGTTCCAGTCAGCAATAGGACTGGATAATGGGGGGAACTAGAGTGGCGAAGAGGGTAGTGAGAATGCATGAGTGGGGTGAATGTTCCAGCGGGGCGATCTTAACAGGGGTACATATCAAAGTGCGGTGATGATTGTGGATAAGTGTGTTAAGGGGATTATAATATCGGGGTAGTGTCTAACAGAGAGGGAGATTGTGAAGTAAAGCAAAATGTTGAATGCTCTAAGTGTGGTGACAACGGCGGAGAAGTAAACCCCACCCTAGGGGTGCCTGGGGAAACATGAGGGGTCGAGTGAAAATGGGGTCTACTTCGCTGTACTATTGTGAGATTTCGGAAATTGATTCAGGAGATTGAAAGGAAGATCTAAGGAGGGGAAACAGAAAATCATTCCAAGCCAAAGGAGGAGATATACCCAAGAAGGCAGAGAAGTCCTAGCGCCCCAGCCGTCCCCGATTAAGCTTGCTCGTGGAATGTAAGGGTTTTTAATTCCCCTGTTGAATACAAAAAAGGTTAGGACATCTAATCTCTTCCAATAACATTGCAATTTGTGGTATTTTGGAAACTAGAGTTCGGGTGAACCAAATTTTGAGGTTACTAAGTCTTACTTTGGGGGATTGGTGTTATCCATAACTATTGTCGGCCCTAATCGGATTAGAATTTTGGGGTTGCTTGGAAGCCTAGTTTGGTGAGTGTTCGAATCTTACAATCTACGGCTCAAGACCATTATGGTAAGGTTGTTATTCTGGACTCTATTATCTTTGTTTGCTCGTTGGTATATGGCTCTAATGGTCCACTAGAAAGGAAAGATTTATGGAGAGACTTGATGGGTAAAGCTCAAGATTCTGAGGAAATACCATGGGTGATTATGGGTGATTTCAATGCGATGAGATTTGGGCATGAAAAAATTGGGGGTTCCTATAGGTGGAGAAATTATGTTTCGGACTTGAATAATATGTGTAATGAGACTAGGCTTGAGGACCTTTGGTTTATGGGTAGCTTTTTCACTTGGAGTACTATGAGAGAGGGGGAGCATAGGATTACTACTAAGATTGATCAAGCTCTTGTGAATGAAAAGTGGGGCTGCGTGTTTGGTAATTCCATAGCCAATTTCCTCCCCCCAAGCATTTCGGACCATTCTCCTTGTATTGTTGAGTGTGGGGTTATGTCTTCACCAAGGAAAATCCCTTTTTGGTTCTTCAACTTTTGGGCTCACCATGAAAATTTCATTAGCATTTTTAGTAAGGCTTGGGAAGAAGAAGTTAGGGGCACCCCTATGTATCAATTGGTCACTTAATTGAAGAGAGTCAAAGCAGCATTAAAAGTGTTTAACAAGAGGGAGTTTGGGAATATCTCGGCAAGAGTTATTGAAGCTAGAGAAAACCTCGTAAGGGTGCAGAATGCTCTTGCCACTAATCCTCTTGAAGAGAACCTTATTCGTGAGGAAGAAGCCAGAACTTTTGATTTTAAATCTTTAAGTCGAGCTGAGGAGTCATTAGCTAGGCAAAAATCTAGAGTGCAATGGCTTAGAGAGGGTGACCCGAGCACAAGCTACTTCTTCAAGTTTGTGAATGGCCGCAAGAATAGAAATAGAATCACCAAGCTTAAGAGTGATAATGGCATGGTTTTTGAAGACCCTTTGAGCATTAAGGAGGAAATTGTCAGCCACTTTAAAAGAGTTTTTGAGGAGCCGAGGGGTGTGAGCGACTACCGAGGCTTATAGGAACTTATTGAACCTTGCATCACTAGTGATATGGCTAATGGGATGATTACCGAAGTGATGGATGAGGAAATCAAGAACACTCTTTTTTGTTTGGGCGATAACAAAGCTCCTGGACCAGATGGTTTTAGTGCCTATTTCTTCAAGAAAGCTTGGGATGTGGTGGGCAAAGATGTGACTATGGCTATTAAAGACTTCTTCAAAGAGGGCTTCTTAGGGAGGTAAATTGCACTTCAATTGCTCTTATTCCCAAGTGTGATAATGCTTCTTTGTGAAAGGACTATAGGCCCATTTCATGCTGCAACATTATTTATAAATGTATCACCAAAATCATTGCGAATAGAATTAAGAGCGCTTTACCTCTCTTCATTGATCCTGCACAAGCAGCCTTTGTTGGTGATAGGAGAATAGGAGATAATATCCTGTTATGCCAACAGCTGGTGCACAACTACAATCGAGCTTCGGCCAAGGAGAAATGGTGTGCCTTGAAAGTTGATTTAATGAAGGCTTATGACTCGGTTAATTGGGAGTTTCTCTTACAAGTCCTAAAGAACTTTGGATTCCTAAGTGTACTTGTCAATTGGATATCCAAATGCATCACTACTCCTAGGTTCTAGGTAGTAATCAATGGGGAGCTGGTGGGTTTCTTTGGGAGCTCTAGAGGGCTGAGACAAGGGGATCCGTTATCCCCTTACTTGTTTGTTATTGCTATGGAGGTTTTCTCGAGGCTCTTGAATAGAGTGGCAGCTAATACAAACTTTAGTTTTCATTGGACATGCAAGAAATGGGGCTGACTCATCTTTGTTTTGCGGATGATCTCATGCTTTTTTGTAAAGCCGAAGGTACTTCTCTATCTCTCCTTAAGAATCCTTTATTTACCTTCGAAAGTTGGTCAGGATTGAGTGCTAATCCCGATAAGAGTAATATCTTCCTTTCTGGTGTGAATCACAATGAGAAGATGGAACTCTTAAGTTTGATAGGTTTTTCCTAGGCTACTCTACCCATAAAATACTTAGGTGTATCCCTTATTACCTCTAAGTTAACCTTTGGGGATTGCCAACCCCTCTTGGATAAAATCTTGGCTCCGGTTATCACTTGGAGAAGTAGGTTTTTATCCTATGCGGGGAGGATTATTTTGATTAAGTCGATTCTTTGGAGTATCCAGATTTATTGGTCGTCTCTCTTTATTCTTCCTTCCAAAATTCAGAAGGAAATTGATGCTAGGTTGAGAGCTTTTCTTTGGTCCGGAGTTGATATGAATAGACACAAAGCAAGAATAGCTTGGGAGGAGGTTTGTGTACCCAAAAATGAGGGCGGGCTTGGGTTTATGAAATGTAAGGAATGGAACCTCGCTGCTTCTTTAAGACATATTTGGAACCTGTGCAATCATAGAAACCATACTTTGTGGGTCTCTTGGGTCCGAATTCATCTTTTGAGGAATAGAAGCATTTGGGACATAAGCATTCCCCAAAATTGTACATGGTCATGGAGACATATCCTAAAAAATAGGGAAATGGCTAGAAAGAATATCAAATGTCACATTGGCAATGGTAACACCACCTCTCTTTGGTTTGATAACTGGCACCCGAACGAGCCCTTTGTTTCCGTCTACGGGGAAAGGATTATTTATGATGCAGGGATTGCTAAGGATGCTAAGGTGAGTTCTGTGATTGATGGATGCAATTGGAAGTGGCCAAGTGCCAATTCTTGGGCTCTTATTAATATGAGGACTTCTATGAATTTCACACCTTCCAATGTTGACGACAAGATTTGTTGGATACCCTCACCTTCGGGGGATTTCTCTACCAAATCGGCTTGGGAGGCAATTAGAGGAAGGAGAGCAAAAGTTGAGTGGTGTGACTTGGTTTGGTTCTCAAATGCTATCCCAAGATACTCTATGATCTTATGGATGGCTATTAACGAGAGATTACCTACAAAGGAAAGGTTTATGAGGTATGGGGCTATTACTAACGCTCATTGTTGCCTTTGTAACTCATCTATGGAATCTCTTGACGACTTATTTTTTGCATGCCCTTTTTCTAAGTCTATTTGGAGTAAGATCCTTATGCTTGCTAACCTTGGCTATGTGGTTAGACGCTGGCATGATTACATCCCCTATTTGGCAAGGAAATGGAAAGGTAAGAGCTTAAAATTCACTTTGGGTAGGCTTTGTTAAGGGGCTACGGTTTATTGGATTTGGAGGGAGCGAAATTCACGAATTTTTAGGGGTGACTATAAGGATTCCTTCACCATAATTGATGTTATCAAAAGTGTTGGCGAATGATTGGGGCCTACCCAGATCTATTTTCAAAGATGTTCCTCAAGTTCCCGACACCGTTTGAAGACTGGATTACGGATAGTTACACATAATGGTTTTTGCTTGGTTGTGTTTCTATCATTTGTAACGAGTTTGATATCGTGGTTTTCTTTTAATGATCCTAACCTAGGGAGGTGTCCTATGGTAGGTGGAATTGTTGTTGTTCTCCTTGCTTTCTTCGTGGTTTTTTGGTTTAAGATTTACCCCAAGAGTGAATGGCCGTTTGTAGGCTTGTTTCCTTTGATTCCTATTTTGGGGCATGTCCCAAAATAGGCTGGTCGCCCTTTATCAGGCCTTTGTACATTCTTCTCTTCTTTTTTTTAATATTATTACTTACTTAACAAAAAAAAAAAAATTGAATGATCATACTCAAACCGCACCATACCAAATTCTTGGATGACGGTACTTAAACATCCAAACCAGGCATGAGGAGACTGTTTCAAGCCATACAGTTAGCAATGAAGTTTACATATTAAGGTAGACTCCCCTTGAGCAATAGAGCCATGCGGTTGCTCCATATAGATTTCTTTTTGAAGCTCACCATGAAAAAATGCGTTCTTAATGTCCAATTGGTAAAGAGGCCACTGTTGGATGGTAGCCATAGATAAGAACAAGTGGACAGATCTTAGCCATAGGGGAAAATGTGTCATAATAATCCAACCCAAAAGTCTAAGTGTACCCTTTTGCTACCAAACAAGCCTTTAATCAATCAACCTAGCCATCCAGACCAATTTTAATATTATAAATCCCGCGACAACCAACAATCAACTAGCTTGGAGGCAAAGGAACCAATTCTCAAGTGCTATTATTATCCAGAGGAGTCATCTCTTCAATCGTTGCCTGATGCCATCTGGGGTCAGCCAACTACTCATAAACATGGGAGGGAACAAAAACAGACGAATGTGTGGACAGAAAAGCAAAATATGGCGAAGATAAGCGATGATAACTAAGGAAATTATAGATCAGATGATAATTGCGAGTGGACCGCATTCCCTTACGACTTGCAATGGGAAATTGATCATCAGGTGGAAGGATCATGGCATGAGAGGAACCTGGAGCAGGAAGAGTAGTAACAGGAGACTTAGGAACAATATTAGGGATAATATTAGTACTTGTAAGAGGAACAAGAATATCAGCTGTAGGAAGAGACTCTATCGTAGGTGAAGAACATTGTGGTACAAGGACAAACTCAAACGACTAACCAAGAAGGGGAGCAATTTATGGGACGGGAAGGACCTCAGTTATAGAGTCATGTTCTGCTGGAGATGAAGAGAAGAAGGGAGAAGACTCAAAAAATGTAACATCAGCAGATATAAAATATCGATGTGTTGTGGAAGAGTAACACTTGTAACCTTTTTAAAGACATGAGTAGCCTAGGAAAATACATTTGGTAGATAGTTTGTCTTGACCAAGGGAGAAGACGTGGACAAAACAGGTGCAACCAAAGACACAGGGAGGAAGAGAGAATAAACATTGGTCAAGGAACAAAAGATAATGAGGTATCTTGTTTTGTAGGACAAAAGAAGGCATCTGATTAATCAAGAAACAAGCAGTCAGCACAGTGTCTGCCCAAAACTAGAAAGGAACCTGATTGTGTAAAAGCATAGTGCGGGCAACTTCAATGAGATGTCTATTCTTACGCTCAGCAACCTCATTTTGTTGTGAGGTTTAAGAACAAGATAACTGATGGAGGATTCCCTGGGAGGACATGAAATTTTTAAAAGGGGTAGAAAAGTATTCACGAGCATTATCACTCTACAACATATGAATAATAGTATTAAATTGTGTCTTAATTTTAGCACAAAAGGATTCAAATATGGAAAATAATTCGGAATGAGTTTTCACTAAAAATAACCAAGTGCAGTGAGAATAATCATCAATAAATTTAACAAAATGCTAAAAACCCAAAATAGAAGAAACACGACAAGGACCCCACACATTTAAATGAACTAACTCAAAAGGGGATGCAGCTCTTTTATTGACATGCTTGGGAAATGAACTATGAGAATGTTTCCCAAGCTGACACTACTCATAACTTTAAGACGATAAATTCGATAGACTTGGAATCATCTTTTGAAGCTTCAATAAATTGGGATGACCCAAACGATTATGAAGGAGAACAGGAGATTCAAAAACAGTGCATCCTATAGGGGTAGAAGGTAAATTGAATTGGTAGAGGAGAGGCCATGTGACTCATGTTCTGTGCCAATCATTATCCCGTGTCTCGGTCTTGTATAATAATAGAAGCATTGTAAAAAGTCATAAAACAATTTAAAGACCGTGTAAGTTTACTGACAGATATAAGATTAAAAGGACAATTAGGAATATAAGAATAGAATCTAAGGCCAAGAAAAGAAGTGGATGTGCATGACCCACTACTTTAACAACTGTTTTGGACCCATTAGCCATAGTAACAGAAGGCATAGATGTAGCATTAGTGAGATGAGAAAGTAAATGAGGGTTACTAGAAATATGATCAGAGGCACCAGAATCAAGTACCCAAGGTCGTAAAGGGGAAGACTGAGTGAGGCATGCAACTGAATTACCCAATGACTTGAAGGCAACAGATGAGGAATACTGCTATTTGCTTGATAGTTGAGATATTCTTCATAATCAACACTAGTGAGAGTCAAGGATGGCTGAATGTGTCCTCAAAGGATTCTGAGGAAGATCAGAGTGATATATTTGAACAACATTGGTGGCCATAGTAGGGCGACCATGCAATTTGATATTTTACCCTGGCTGTCCCCACCGATTACAGTACTATACTTGGTCGACCCTCCCCTGCCACCATGGGTCTCCATGCTCTTTTCTATAATATTTTGAGACTGAGAAGCCACAACTGAAGATCAACAAGGGAGATCTACCACAACACTACGAGAGGAGTGCCGAAGAAGGCGAACACTTCATCAAGAAAGGCACAGTAGCACTGGCCAAAATATACTCTCGTACAGAGTAAGATCATGTTGATAGCAATAAGGGTCAGAACCATGAAAAACTTTCTTGTTGCGCCAAATCTTTTGTTGCAGACTTGCTCGTGGGCAACAATAATTAAATTCCGCCTTAAGAGAGGCCATCCTACCAAGAAATTATGACCTGCCCAAATCCTGCATTTCAAATTAACCAGGTTGGACACAATAGAAATAGCTTTTGGACATCATTAGTATAAAGTATCTAGCCTGACATCCACACCTCAACCAGGTTTTGAAAGTTTTGAATGGGATGAAAGTTGTTAGGTCATTGTTCGCATAATAACTAACATAACAACAAGCTCAGTTTTAAACCAAGTAGAATTATTTG